TGGATTTTTTTTTTTGATCACAGGATTTTTTTTGTTGTTGGCATTTTTAAGAATAGTGGATCTACAAAAGCATAAGGGGCTTGCCTCATAGAAAAGGGGGCAAACCATGTTTACTTTGTGTTGCTCTTGGTGTCCTGTACCAAGTATGCTGCTGTTGCTCAAAGATACAATGGAATGTTGTCCTTTGTGGGTGCTGATGCTCCTTGATATTCCACCCTTCTCTATTATTCTGATTTCTAGTGTGGTAGGTTCTGTACAAACACAGAACAAAAAGACTGTCTCTGCCCCCCAAAGAATTAACACTCTGAAGAAACAATTGTCTTAGCTTGGGCCTTGTTTAAACTTATTACTAGCAAGAGCAGTCAGGCCTGCAATTAGCTAACTGTGTATGCAATGCATGCACCAGAACTCAGTTCTGGTAAATGAGATTCTGTAACAGAAAAATGAGCTCTTCGTGTTAAGTAAATGTTTACCTAAAATGAAATGAGGGGGAAGGAGGTGTGCACTTTATTTGTTAGTACATTTTAAGCCCGTGGGGCCAGGGACTACCCTTTTGTTCTGTGAGTGCACCGCTCCAAGTACAATTAATAAATCACACACTTATAAGATACTTTCAGCATCTGTGGGAATTTTCTTTTCATCTAGTAGGAGCCGTGTTACAGGCTTTTAGTAGATACACATCAGGTTCTATTAGCTAGGTACCTGTATTGACTCTGCATAAAGCTTTTCATTAGGGAGAATGGTTGTGGTGAAGGAAATGGGAAAAACTACCCCTACCCATACCACTGGTAAGAAACAGGACCAAACAAGGGAATATGGAAGAGTAAAAGGTTAAATAGAGGAATGAGGAGCTGAATAGGCAAGATTTAGTTTTTCTATGTTGTAGTGTGTAAAAGGATGGCTGCTTAGTGAGCACCCCCTTGTGGCCAAGGGTTGGTTTGCAAGCACTTCACTTGATTCAGGCCCCTTAAGCACTCCACACAGTCTCTTGTGTTTAACAGCACCTGCATCCAGAGTTGGTTTATTAAGATTCAGACAGTTCTCTGAGTTCCTAATAGCAAATGGCTCAAACATTAGAGGTCCCCTAAATAAAGTCCATAATACAAAAGTTCATAGTTAGCCCTGGTTCTTTGTTTTTCCTATCCAGGCCCTTCGGTATGTCGTTATCCTCAACTCAAGGGCACAATTAACTTTTTTCATTAGTCCAAATTTTTGTCATTCCTCTTTTAAATTTTTCTGTACTGGACTTCTGAATTCCTGTTTACTCAAGGGTAGTTTTATGTCAGTTTCCATTTCTTACAAGTTTTTTAGCTGCTTTGTTTGCCATTTCATTCTCTTATTTCAGTATGTGCTGGGATCCTAGCTAATGTATCTATCTGTACTAATTCTATTAGAAATACAGTTTCATTGATTAAATTGCTTGACATACTGAGGCACCCTTTTTAAAATCACCATAAGGCCTGAGATTGAATCTGGAAAATGACCATCGCTGCTGGACATACCTCCCAGATCTCAGTTAGTAGTAGCATAATGTCTACTAGTTTGGCTGTCATGACAGCTACAAAATTGGATATTCTTTTAAATGTACTAATTCCAAATTTTGGTATATGCTGTCACTTCTCTTCCTGTTTTTTTTGGGGGGGGGGGGGAACCCATCTGTATATATTTGACAAAATCAACTCCATTTTTCATCTGTATACTGGTACAATTCATTTTTAATAGCTACTGTCTTTTTTTACCCTTAAGTTTATAAAATAAATCTAAATCCACATTTGGACATGCAACTTTTCATCCCTAACTAATTTTCCATGACGAAGTTTTGATGTCATTTAGCTTTTCCTTTCAACTTCTGCATCTACATTGTAACTTTTAGAACTTCTGAGGGAGAATGCAGTCTATATACCAGCCTTCCTACCGTGGCTGGATGAGAGGGTAGGGTCCCACTCTACACAATAGGGCTCTTGATCCTGCACCCTTAAAGGAACAGTGTCCTGGGTTTTCTCCCTATCTAACTCTCACATTCCAGGGTGCAATCCAGTCCAGTGAAGGGTTGTCACCATCTGCCCTGAAACCTGGGGTGCCTCACTGTGCTTTGCTGCCGTAGCTCCCAACCTGGGCCACTCACAAACAGCTGCAGGTCACACCCTGCAACATGCCAGCATGTTCCAGTCACACGGGCTTCCATCAGCCTTGGTCACCACTTGCAGGGTGACTCCAACACACTCCCAGTCTAAAATTTTCCTCCAAAATGTGTGTTCTGCACTGTCCAGTCCTTTCTTGGACAGATCAGATATTTTAGGTCCATTTGCTCCATAAGGAACAATATCCAACAGTTTGCTACTTTAAATGGAGTTACCCAAACAATTCAATTTGAATGCAACACCAGATTAGTTTTGATTAAAGAATAAAACAAGTTTATTTAATTACAAAGAGATAGAATTTAAGGGAGTATACATTTTATAAGGCATTAAAGTGAGAAACGGTTACAAAAGAAAAATAAATAAAACTCAGGTGCTAAAACTTAACAAGCTAGACTTGGTTCAAGGTAAAATCTTTACCACATATTCCAAACAACAGGGCTGACTAAACTCCAGGTCAGGCTACCTCCCAAAGTCATATGGCTGTGTATGGGGTTTTTTTGTTTGTCTTATTTGATGAAATGAGATAGGAAGAAAATACCTTGTGGTGGTTTTTGCTCATCACTTTTATAATCCAGTCACCTTTGAAATGCATCTTCCTGAGGATTATCACTAGATAAAGTTAATTCCCACTGTGAGGTTGTAGTCTTGTGGTGAAAGAGGTTCCATGCTGTTTGCTAAAGTATAGATTGATCTGTTTCAGCTCCCCTTCTTTGCCAAATTCTGGCCACTGGACAGGTGATTGCCCATCAACTTTGATGATACCTGACTAGAGGCATCAGCCTTTCCTGTGTCTTTGAGAAACAGGTTTATCCACTCCTCAGGCTTGTCTGATAGCCTTATGTCAGTCATAATTTCATCTTATATTCATAACTTTACATATAATGTTGCTATTTAGATTCCACCATGACACTGTTGACCAGTGAGTTATTCATTTTCAAATGATACCTCACAAAGCATACTTTGTACAAAGATTATAATAGTATATAGGGTGTAATTATAGGGTGCATTTGGTCACACCCACTCATTCCCTGGTAGCACATCTCTCTTCTGCTGCCATTTCCTGACCCTTTGTTCAGTTCAGCTCCTGGGAACAGGGTCTTGTTGCCCCACTCCACTCTTAAAGGGATAGTATGTCCCATTACATAGAGGTTGCTTGGCACTAGCCAGTGACAGCTAAACCAGTGCAAATAAAGAATCTTATAAAATAATGAATTCAATCACAGGACTGTGGATTGTATAGGATGGGCTTGTTCTATTAGTGGAAAAATTGTTTGGAGGTGCTAAGCAACCAAAAACCAAGACATGGCAAATCTTTGAGCTAGTATCTTTAGGCAAGTGAGTAAATTTGCAATCTGGTTGGCTGCTGCTGTCCAGTGATGCCTGGAGAGTATTATGATGAGAATGCCTAGCTGTAAGTAGACCTTGTCTATACTACAAAAGTGAGTTTTATAATGATTGCTAAACTTGGGTTATGGCTCAACTTTGTTACAAAAGAACTAAATTAACTGCATCCTTGCAGATGTAGTATAGCTCTATCTATACAAACTAGGCCACACTGTGATTCAGTCTGGTTAAGCTGCAGCAAAGTTCAATTTCAGTTGTTTACATAGTGTAGATCGGTCACAGATGTTGGAATGGAGGATTATGCCTCTCTGGTTAGTCTCATTACTTGTGACTGTACTGTTCAACAGTAACCAAAGACAGCTGCTCTCTTTAAAATCAGGTTATGTACACATGAAAGTTAGGCTGATTATATGTATACTTCTACCTTCCAGAGATTCATGTCCGGATGACAAAACTTTGGCACTGCAGATACAGATGAATAACGTGCTGGAGACTGACTGCTGAGGTGGTTGCATGGGTACCGTGGAAAAGGCTGGATGCTAGAAGTGCAGTGGGAACTTGTCTCCCAATACTGGATCAGCAGGTGTTCTTAAAACCTCATTATTACAGAAGTATATTTATTCTCTCTCCTGTCTGGCAGACAATTGAGCTAACCCCTTCCTCTACACGGTTAGTTTTCTGATACCATTCTTTAAAAAAAGGACTACAGAGCCTATTTAGTGCTGAGTATCTTTAACATTGGCGGGCCAGTACCAGCTACCCCCAAAGAAGGTGAAAACAAACCTGCAATTAGGGAACACCCAGTCCATAGAAGAAGTTAATTAGAGGTGGGTGCCTGTCCTACAGCTTGGGGCTGTTTGTCACTTCCATACATTTTGTTTTTAAACCTTTTACTAATATAATGTAAGTATTTTCCCCAGCCTTTAGCTAACACAGGTGCTGTGTGTTAACAGTCTGTGCCCAAGAACTTCAAGAAGTGTCTTAAGTTAATTTTATACATATAAAAAGAAACAAAATGCCCAACACTGGTTAGAAAACAGAGACAAGTCCCACCTGATTGCTTTGTGATCTCACCTCAGGGAACATTGACCCACCTCTTCTAAAGCAGCCAGGAGGATCCCACTGCCAGGCTAGGGTGACCAGATAGCAAATGTGAAAATCCAGCAGGGTGTGTGTATGTATAAAAGGCACCTATATAAGACAAAGCCCCAAATCTCAGGACTGTCCCTATAAAATCAGGACAGCTGGACACCCTATGCCAGTGCTTAATCTCTATTGGCCAACTGCCAGGGAACTTCCTCGCCCCCAGCATTCCACCCTACCAAAAGACTTCCACCGGCCAAGAACCTTGGCCCTCCTAACATTCTATCCCACCACGGGACTCCCACCCACCACGTAACATTCCGCCCCTCGTGGCCCCGCCCCTCGCCCATCTGGCCCCGCCTCCTGGGCAGCTGTCTCCTAGCCCCGCCTCCCCAGCCGGCAGGGGGAGGTGGCCTAGTCTCTTTATGGCCTGTGCGCGCCTTCCGGCCCCTCCCTATGCGCTGCCGGCGGCGAGACCGGCTGGCGTCCCCCTCGCGCGGAGCCGGGCCGGCTCCTCGGGTTCCGCGCGCCGCGATGAAGTGTCACTACGAGGTGCTGGGGCTGGCGCGCGACGCCTCTGACGAGGAGCTGAAGCGGGCGTACCGGAGACTGGCGCTGCGCTGGCACCCAGGTACGCCGGGCTCAGGGCCCCGCACCGCCCGTGGCCTGCTCCTCCCTGCTGGGCCGCCCCTTTCCCCGCGCCGGGCCCGGCGTCCGCCCGCCCTGCGGGGACTGTCTCGGGCCGGCCCGCACCATCGGGGGGATACGGCCGCGCCACCATTCCCCGCTCGGAGAGGGCCCTGCGCGCCCCGTCGGCCAGGCCAGGCGGGCCCATGCCGAGGGCAGGTGGGCAGCGGGCGGAGCCGCGAGGGGCTCTAGGGACTCTGCGGGGCCCGACCCTGCGCCCTGGCCCAGGTCCCGTGTCCCACTGGCTGAGCCCGGGGCTCCCATCGCCTGGCCGGGCCGGTGAGGCTGCTCTCCCCCCCCCCTCCCTTTGAGGCATCGCTCAGGTATGTGGGTTCGGGGCGGGGCGCCCGGCGGTGTGAGACCATCTCACGGGTATTTCTCCTGGCTCATCTGCCAGCCTCGTTTCCTATTCTCTTT